TGCAATTTAACAATTTAAATGCAACTAAACGCAATTTAAATGCAATTTAAAAAATGCAATTTAAATGCAATTTAAACGCAATTTAAATGCAATTTAAACGCAATTTAAATGCAATTTAAACGCAATTCAAATGCAATATAAACGCAATTCAAATGCAGTTTAAAAAATGCAATTTAAATGGAATTTAAATGCAATTTAAATGCAATTTGAATGCAATTTAAATGCAATTTAAATGCAATTTATTTTCATTTTGTTCAAATTCAAAAACCCGCCTCGTCCAGCCGCCGCTTCAGCAAAAACGCCTCCAGAGGCCCCCAGCGTTTTCCCTCTTTTGTATTAAATTGAAAAAGAGAAGGGCCTGTCATTTTGCTGCCGTTGTAGTCTTGGTTTATTTCGAATTGCTGCTGCTCCTCTGCTGCTGCCTGCTGCTGCTGCTGCTGCTGCTGCTGCTGCTGCTGCTGCTGCTGCACCTCCAGCCGCAGCCGCAGCCTCTCGGGAAAGGTCCGCAGCGCCTTGGCGCGGGGCCCGCGCCGCCTCGGCCTCCCCCGCTGCTGCTGCTGCTGCTGCTGCTGCTGCTGCTGCTGCTGCTGCAGCGGGGACCCCCGGAGGCTTCTGTCAAGGCCTTCTGCGCTTCTCAAAAAAGCCAAAACTGGCAAGTCCAGGGCCTGCTGAATGTTGACTTCAATTGGCCCGCTGCTGCCTCTGCAGCAGCAAAACAAACCCCACACTCGCCCGCCTCCAGCAGCAGCAGCAGCAGCAGCAGCAGCAGCAGCAGCAGCAGCAGCAGCAAGTGCAGCGGCAAAGCAACAGCAGCGCAAACAACAACACCACCACAACCACCACCACCACCACCACGAGCAGCAGCAGCAGCAGCAGCAGCAGCAACAACAGCAGCAGCAGCAGCAGCAGCAGCAGCAGCAGCAGCAGCAGCAGCAGCAGCAGCAGCAGCAGCAGCAGCAGCAGACGTCACCTGATGTCTTTGTCTGCGGGGAAGTTGACAGTTTCGAGGTTTTTGAAAATGCTGTTGACGTTTTGCGGCAGCCAGCTGCTGCTGCTGCTGCAGCGCGCAAAGCTGCTGTAGTCTGCTGCTGCTCCTCTCACAAACAGCAAATAGTTCAGCAAGCTGCTGCCCCCCAAAGCTTTGCCGCGGGGCCACTTGGAGCGGCCCCCGCGCAGCCCCTGCAGCAGCAAACAGCAGCACGCACTTGCTGCTGCTGCTGCTGCTGCTGCTGCAGCAGCAGCGGCAGCAGCAGCAGCGGCAGCAGCAGCAGCGGCAGCAGCAGCAGCGGCAGCAGCAGCGCCGCTCGCGCAGCAGCAGCGGCAGCAGCAGAGAAACGGCAGCAACGCGGGAGATGCAGCGGCCAGGGGTGTGCAGCAGCAGAGCAGCAGCAGCAAAGCAACTGCAACAGCGAATGAGCTGCTGCAGCAGAGCAACTGCAGCAGCAGCAAAACTGCAGCAGCAAACACGCTATTTAAACTGTGCTGCTCTTTGGCTTTTATCACTAAAGACTGCTTTTGGGCTCGCTGTTGCTTCTGCTGTTGCTGCTACATTTGCTGCTGCAGTTGCTGCTGCATCTGCTGTCACGCTTGCTGCTACACTTGCTGCTGCAGTTTCTGCTGCACTTGCTGCTGCATCTGCTGCTACATTTACTGCTGCAGTGCTGCTGCATCTGCTGCTGCATCTGCTTCTGCATCTGCTGCTGCATCTGCTGCTGCAGTTGCCGCTACATTTGCTGCTGCACCTGCTGCTGCATCTGCTGCTGCAGTTGCCGCTACATTTGCTGCTGCAGCTGCTGCTGCAGCTGCTGCTGCAGCTGCTGCTGCAGCTGCTGCTGCAGTTGCTGCAGCTTTTACCTGGCAAGCGAACTGCTGCTTCTCGGTTTTGACCTTCCAGTCCATATCGCTGGTCTGTCCTTCAAATGTTCTCGCGGGAATTCTCACTGGAGAAAAAGAACGCAAGTCTGGCCACCCCCCCGCCTCTATAAGGAGAATATTGGGTTTTCTTTTGCGTCTTTTGGCTGTTTTATTGCTGCCTTGCTGCTGCTGCTGCTGCTGCTGCTGCTGCTGCTGCTGCTGCTGCTGCTGCTGCTGCTGCTGCTGCTGGTGCTGCAGGTGGCTGCTGGGGCTGTTTCCTGCGTTTGAGTTTGAAGTGGAGTTGTTTATTTTTCCAAGACTTTTGTTTTCAAAAGGGAATTCTTGCTGGTCTTCGGCTTCGTCGAGCGCGAGCTTGCTGAGGAGCCCGGCGAGGGTGGAGCCGGCGCTGCCGCCGCCGACCACGACGAAGTCGAAGGTCTGGAGGGGAAAAAGTGGCGCATTTTCGTCGAACTTTGGAATAATTGGATTTATTTTTTGATTTGGAGTCGATTTATGTGCGTAATCGGGGCTTTGGTCGGCGCTTTCCGTGCGGATCGCGTCGCTGACCAGCTCGCGGCTGCTGCGCGCGGAGTGTACGTACACCCAAGACTCGCACGGCAGCTGCACCGGCGAGTGCGACAAACGCGGCAGCAGCAGCACTGTGGCCAAGAGGGGCCCCCAGTTTTGCACGGATTTCCGTGCAGCAGCTTCGGAGGGCAGCAGGGGGGCCCCCCCGAGCCTTCGAAGGGCCCCCAGAGTGCACAGGGCGCTGGACTGGGCCAGCGAGACGAAGGAGGCGAAGGGCGGCTGAGAGCCCCAGCTGCGCAAGACGTGCAGCAGCTGCGCGCACGGGGAAGCTTCTGCTGCTGCTGCTGCTGCTGCTGCTGCTGCTGCTGCTGCTGCTGCTGCTGCTTGCGCGGAGGTCAGCTCGCTCGAGGCCCCCGAGCCTGCTGCGGGAATCGGGTAGAAGCAAGCGACGGAGAAGTTGCGCAGCGGAGAAGGGTCAACTGCGATCAGCAAATCCAAAAAAGGAAAAAATGGAAAAGAAATAAAAAGAAAAAAAGCAAACGCCACGGAAGCTGCCAAGACACCCCGCTTCAGGAGGCCCCACAGGAAGCGGCCGGGGGAAACGCCGCGAGCTGCTGCTGCCGCTGCTGCTGCCGGCTTTGCTGCTGCTGCTGCTGCTGCTGCTGCTGCTGCTTTTGCTGCCTCGGCTTCGGCTTCTTGCTGCTGCTGCTTCTGCGCAGAAGGAAACGACAGGCAGGGGACGCTGGAGGGCGAAGAAGTTCTTGTTTGTTCATTGTCGTTTGCGTCTGCTGCTGCTGCTGCTGCTGGTCTGCAGGCAGCAAGAGCTGCAGCAACAGCAGCAGCTGTTTCGCTCCTCAGCTTTTCATTTTGCTGCTTCTCCCCGTCTTCTGCTGCTGCTGCTGCTGCTGCTCCTGCTGCTGCCGGGGGGCCGCGGCGGCCCATTGCTGCCAGTGGACCACTGGTCACCGCTTGCTCCGCTGCAGCTCCAGGCCAGACTTTCGCAATTTTCGCCAAAATTGTGAATTAATAAAAGATATTTTAGCATTAAATGAAGTTTTAAACGACAAAGACAAGGCTAAGCAGCTGGAAATGGCGGCTCTGACGCGGAATCTGCGCGCGCGCTGTCGGCAGCGGCGCCTCTTGAATTCAACAACCGGCGGGGGCTGTTGAGGCCTAAAGGCAGTCAATGGCGTTTAAAATATTTAATTTTTGCAATTTATTGTTCAAGTTTTACAAATTAAACACAAAATGGAGCATTTTGACCCGCAAATAGACAGAAATGGCGCCGCCGCTCCACTGACCACGCCGCCGGCGCTGCTGCTGGGAGCAGCAGCAGCCGCCGCCTGCTGTCTTCGCCAGTTTGCCAGTCTTTTGAGCTCATTTAATCAAATTAATCATTTAAATCAATTTAATTTACTTTTCTGCATTTATTGCAACAAATTTGCCAGCAAATTGAGCCAAAATGGCCCCCGTTTCCCCCGAGTCTGGTGGGCGCGCGGGTCAATTCACCGGAAGCCCGAAAGGCTTTTTCGACTGGCCTTGAAATTCAAATTAAAATTAAATTAAATAAATCAAAAAACACTCAGCAGCAAAAAGAGTTCTTTCTATCTGCAGCAGCAGCTGCAGGCCCACAGATTATCCCCCGTTGCTGCTGCTCGCAGCCAAACGCAGCTGCAGCTAGCTGTGGCTAGCTGAGGGCTGCAGCGGCTAGCTACGGCTAGCTGCTGCTGCCATCTGCAGCTAACAAAGGCTCCACAGCCATGGCTAGCTGGGGCTAGCTAGGCCCCGCTGCAGCTAGCTGTTCACTCCATGGCTAGCTGCTGACAGCTAGTTGCAGCCAGCTGGTTGTGGCTAGCAAGCTACAGCTAGCTGTGGCAAGCTATAGCTAGCTACAGCTAGCTACAGCTAGCTACAGCTAGCTACAGCTAGCTACAGCTTGCTACAGTTAACTGTAGCTAGCTAGCCGCAGTGACCTAGTTGCACCCAGCTAGCCGCATCCAGCCAGCTGCAGCCAGCTAGCTGCAGCCATATACCTGCAGCCATATAGCCGCAGCCAGCTAGCTGCAGCCAGCTAGCTGTGGCTAGCTGCAGCCACTTGCAAAAAGCTTTAGCTAGCTGCAGCTAGCTGGAGCTAGCTGTAGCTAGCTGTAGCTAGCTGTAGCTAGCTGTAGCTAGCTGGAGCTAGCTGTAGCTAGCTGGAGCTAGCTGTAGCTAGCTGGAGCTAGCTGTAGCTAGCTAGATGATTTCTTGTATTTCTTTTGCTTCTGAAGTTCCACAGGGTCTGCTGCCAGCTTTTGCCTTGGGCCGCCTTGCACAAATTAAATTAATTTAAATTTTTAATTTTAAAAAATTGAAAATTTAAATTAATTTAATTTGAAAAAAAAGGAAATTTTTTTCTGCCTTTTTATTTCCTATTTGAGCATTTGTGGCGTTGAATTTGTTGGCAAAATAAAATTAAAATTGTTGGAGACTTTTGAGAGATTTTGGACTTTTAAAAATACTTTTTTAATGAATTCATTTAAATGAAATATTTCAATTTTTCCATTTTCAAAAAGACTTGCAGTGCACTGCAAATAAAACATTTTTTACTTTTAATTTTATTTCATTTAAAAGTTAACTAAATCAAATTCATTTAATTCAAAAAGCCAAATGGAAAAATAAAATAAAATGCATGCAAGAACTGTTGAAGTGCCCCTTCAGGCATTTAAGTCCATTTAAAATTTCTTTTTTGCACTTTTGCATGCATGCAGATATACTTTTCTACATATACAATATGTATTTATATATTTATTATTTAATTATATATTTATATATTTACATATTTATATATCTATTTACATATTTGTTTATATTGAAATAATAATAGATCACTTCAGCTGTCTAGACTGCAGCGCCACTTGATTTGCCTTTTTGCACTTTTGGATTCTTTTCAATTTGAATTGTTTTCTCTTTTCTTCTTCAATGCTGTTTGCCACATTTGATTTCTTTTCTTTTATCTCTTCTTTCTGAAATTAAAATATTTAATTTATTTTCTTTCTTCTTTTCTAGCATGCACGGGTGCCCCTTGCTCGAGTGTACGTACAGCTGAAGCCACGCTGCGCCAATATTCAATTAGTTAACCCAATTAAATTGTTTACATCAAATAACTCTATTTAAATAATTAAATTAAATTAAATTAAATTACATTTAACTTAATTAAATTTAATTAAATTTAATTTAATTTAATTGTCTTTTTTGCGGGCAGAAGCAGCAGCAGAAAAGCGGAAAAGAAGCAGCAGCGCGAAATGGATCAGCAGCAAATAAAAACTGACATTATGGAAATAAAACTGCAAAATCTGAAATATAATTTGCAAATACTAACTAATTGAAAACTCCGGAAATAAAAAAGAAATAAATTAATTCTGAATTCTCAAAATGCGCAAACGGCGCCGCGCCTCCCCAGATTTCGGGTGTACAGACACCCCAGCCGTCGCCCCGCCGCCTTTTGCAGAATTTAATTCGCCTTTATTTATTGCTTTATTCTTTTATTCTTTTATTATTTTATTCTTTTATTCTTTTTTATATTTTGTTTTAATTTTGATTTTTATTGTTTCTATTTGCATTAACTAGCGATCTGTCTCCTGCTGCGCCTCTGCTGTGCTGCTGCTGCTGCTGCTGCTGCTGCTGCTGCTGCTGCTGCTGCTGCTGCTGCTGCTGTCCCAGAAATGAGAAAATAAAAGTCCACCAAATAATAAATAAAGTGCAAACAATAAATAAATAAAAAACAATCGGTAATATTAAATGAACTGTGAGAAAGAAACTCTGCCGCTGCTGCTGCAGCCGTTGCTGCTGCTGCTGCAGCCGCCGCTGCTGCTGCTGCTGCTGCTGTTGCTGCTGCTGCTGCTGCTGCTGCTGCTGGCGAACGCTGCAGCCCTAACGGGCCGCAGCTGCAGAAGGCGGAAAGAGTGGAAACGGACCATCAAAAGAAATAAAAGGAAAAAAGAAAAAGATTTAAAGAAAGAAAGAAAAGAAGAAAACAAATGGAGAAAAAGAATAAAATAAGTGGAGAAAAAGAATAAAATAAAAAAGGAAAAAGACCAAAAGAGGAGAAGACTGAGAGAATCGAAAAGACCAAAAAGGGGAAATTTTGTCGAAGACAAAAAACGCGAAAGAAAAAAAATTAAAAGACATTAAATGTTTTTTAATCTTTTTTTTCTTTCAAAGAAAGAAAAGAATAAACAATTACACAACAAGAAGTGTAATAATAATGCAATAATGGCACAGTAATAAGAATATAATAATAATATATACAGCAATAATAATATAAGAAATATAGCAGTAATAATATAATAATAAATATAATAATAATGGAAATAATAATACTAATATAATAATAAATATAATAATGCAAATAATAAATTAAATTAGTTGTAGTACAACTCAAGTCCCATGCCGTCGTGGATTTCGTAGTCTTCCAGAGTTATGTGATCTTTGTAAACTGTGTACCACTTTTGAATCCTAATCTTGTCTGGCCGCGTCCCTGTACGCAGCAGCAGCAGCAGCAGCAGCAGCAGCAGCAGCAGCAGCAGCAGCAGCAGCAGCAGCAGCAGCAGCAGCAGCAGCAGCA